TCATTTTCTATAGCATTTTTCTTTTGAGCTGATCTATAGTATTTATTTGTTCTGCCGCTATACCCATTTTTGACTTGCCAAATTGTTGTGTAGTCAGGCGACAACACAGCCAGAACCTGGCTTTGCCACTGCAAGAGCATGTGATCGAGAAATTCTTTTGAGTAACTTTGTCGGGCATTTTTAATGCCACAAGTTTTTAGTCCAACGGTTTTTTCTTTCATGCATGTTAAATGAGCTGGGTCATGCTCACATGAAAAGTTTTTTTTTTCAATTTTGTATGACTTGTCCTAGACTCCTAGTAGTTAGTTCTGTCTTCAGATTTTTGTGCACTCCTTGTAGCTAGCCAGTAACATCTGAATACTGTTCAGTTAACACAGTGCAACATCGCAAGACAGGATGCCCATTTTGGTTATGTCAACTTTACAGCTAGCCTCTTCAGACTTAGCAAACCCGTATCTTTTTTATCAAATAAAAAGGGAAAAGTGCTAAAAGGTACAATCAGGGATAAGCCCAGCCAAAACAGTCAAGCCCACCCAACTAAAAGACCAAAAACAAAGGCATCAGAGACCACGACTAAAGCCCACAACGGTCAATACAACCCCAGCACAGGGGAGTCAAAGCGAGCGAAACCCCACACACATGACAGTTAGCCGACTGAGACATGGTTAAGTCTTAGACGACTAAGCCTCAGCCACACTCTTAATCAAAACCCATCCATGAGTACGATTGGAGGGATGTCAGGGCGGGGATACTTAGAGCATGTCTAGTAGAACCCTCAAACGTTCAAACCCTCACTAGCGTTTTAAGGGTCTAAAAATGGTCTTTTTGTGCACTTTTACAGGTTGAAAAATAGGGATAAAGATTAAAACCCTCAAACCCAACCCTCATAACGGAATATTCCCCATGAACGACGTTGTCGTTGCGGGCATACCGTCGAGCACCTCGTGCATGACAGGCGGAGGGCGGCGCCGGGGCGGAGGGCGGAGGGCGGGGCGGGCACG